AGACAAATGAAAAGAACTGGGAGACAAATGAAAAGAAGTGGGAGACATATGAAAGGAAGTGGGAGACAAGCCAGCCGGGAACCCGACCACAAGCGCCCAGCCTGGGGAGACAAATGAAAAGAACTGGGAGACAAATGAAAAGAAGTGGGGGACAAATGAAAGGAAGTGGGAGACAAGCCAGCCGGGAACCCGACCACAAGCACCCAGCCTGGGAGACAAATGAAAAGAACTGGGAGACAAATGAAAAGAAGTGGGAGACAAATGAAAGGAAGTGGGAGACAAGCCAGCCGCGAACCCGACCACAAGCACAGAGCCGGGAACCCGACCAGACCATCCAGCACCAAGGCGACCATTCTTTAAAGCATTGAGAACCCCTAACAGTAAACTGTTTGGGGAAATATATAAACATATTTAGAATTTAGTTAAATATGTAGATGTATATAATTTCATATACATTCAAGAATAAATGTTCTTTTCGTCGAAATTATGGCCCAAATCACGATCTATTTTCAAGTTCACATATATGTACAATATGCGCCGTTTTGGTGCAATGTGAAATAGCTAGGTTGATGCAGGAATGCCTGTGAATGTTGCCATGTCAGCACCTGTCATGTTGCTGATTGAGTTCAGCAAGCTACAGTAACTCCCACCTGAACCTGTGTCAACCCGCGCAATTTTGGCTGGCCTCGGTTAGTGCTCCCCTTCTATCACGTCTTGCGGTGACAAATTGCTGAGAGACCCACCGCTCTTCCACATCTTCCTGTACACCTCTCACTGGTATTGATGTGATTTTTGTTTAAAAAGAATCTGTTCCAACAACATCACAACTAATTGCCATTGAGGCCCTGGCTGCAGAAGAGTGCATAAAAGTCATCAAAATCAAAGTAATTTGTACCATCCTTATGCCATGAGTCAAGCCATTATGGCCGAAGGCTGGTGATTGGAAAATTGCGGCTCAAGTTCATCCACAGATTTGGCTTGTTGGACCATTTTCCGGCACCTGCAACTGCAAAAGAACACATCGGACCTGCGCTTGCGGTCCACACCTCTCCCAATCAAAGCGGCAAACCTCATTGACGCCGTTCGCTGTTTGGATTGTCTGTCAGCCGTCTGCAGCATTCACAAGACGCTGCACATCCTGGGTCCGAGTCTGCTTGCAGGTCTTCGGCAGCCAATCGACCTTTGGACTCCTGGAAGGCCAAGAGGTCTCTTTTGACGCAATTGTGAAGCACAAATCCATGGCATCTGTTCATTTCTGTTAGTATTTATCTTGACTTCAGTCCGGGTCAAGGAGGCTGAAGGCCTGCACCGTAGCTCATCGAATCAAACATGACAGCTCAACTTCAGGTCGGCCTCATGACATAACCTTTCATCTATGAGGCTCTCAGGCCTCGAAAGATGGTGTCACAAATGCAGTATGCCGCACTAGGTCACACAAGGGGAGTTAAAAGGGTGTGGCCCGACCACCTCCTATGACGCACCCATACAATGAAAGAGTGTCATCGGATCTCATCGGTCACTCCACTCAGGTTGCTACATGGTGCAGGCCAAGAACTCTACGAAGTGGAGCCTGGACAGTGTATGATGGGGTCTCGGCCAATGGCACTGTGGTTGCCTATGGGCGTTCTCAAATCAAAACAGAAAACACCCACCAACATCATAGCGGGAAGATAATTGAAAAACAAAGAAAACGCTTGGGAAAGTAAGACATAACTCGAGTGGGAAGAGAAACCACCAAACTGGGAACAGAAAACACCCAACCCAAATCCTCCTACTAGGGAAGGAAGAGCAAGCACCAGACTGGAAACAGAAAACACCCAACCCAAATCCTCCTACGGAAGGGAAAAGCGGTGCGCGTGGGAAGGGAAAACACCATGGCAAGGGAAAGCACCACCCCGACATTTTTGCACGGAGATGAAAAGCTTTCTTTTGCTCCTGTCCAAGGTGTCTCAGGCAGTTGTCCACAGGCTAGTCTAGTTAATTTAATGGTAAGTTAATGGAAGTTAACCGTCAGGCCGCAGGCCACTAAACCTGGTTCGTGGGCCAATCGAAACACTCACGGGTCGGCAGGCGCACTTGCCCGCTGGGTGCGCGCCTGAAAATCACAGGTTGTGACAGGTACAGTCACAGGTTGTGCTAAAAGCTGGTCTGTCTAAGTGGCCAGCAGCAGCCATCAAATATCTCTGCCATGTCTGTGGGTGGGTCTATGCCGGCAGCCAGAAGACCCGCCTGGACATCATTGACACCTTGACCCATGCTCCCACAGATTTGACCTTGTTAGGCATGCCTCAAGCTCTTCACGCGTGATCTCACCATCCTGAGACAGGAGAGCTGGGATGAGCTGGGTACAGGGCACAAGCACCAGAGTTGGCATGATGGCGGGTGGGATGGTGTCACCTGATGCGTTCCAACATCCTCAGGAGTTGACGCCGCTTTGATCCAGCGTCCGAAAGTTGTGGCGCGCCGCCTTGGTGTCACTGCAAGTCGGACCCTCAACAATGCATACGCACTGGAAACTGAGTGAGAGTAGGTCAAAGATCCACTTTCTGGCGTTCCTCAATAGGCTGCACACCAGTAGTTCAGCATCATGCTCTGCCAAATGTGCCATGAACAGCTGGGCCACCTTGTTCAAGTCAGGGACCAAAAGAGACTCTTCAAAAAAAAAATAGTGCTTGAACCATTGAACAAACCAAAACTGTGGTGCCTTCTTCAACCTCGGTGCCTTCGCAAAACTCCTGGGCGACTTCACAGCTTTGATTTGATGCCCTTCATACCGCTTGCACTACTCACTAGCTCTAAAATGGACCACTTAGTTCAATCAAAAGAAAAAAGAAGCGAAGGCCCAAAGGCTGCAACCTCAGCTTGTCAATGACGGTCTCATCCAATTGCGTGGTGGCTGCCACTGCACCGCCAAGGTATTCGTGGCAATGTTCTGGCAGTCTTGCAGACTCACAAAGCGCTTCCGAATGTGACACGGCCGTCGTAGGTGCTACGACTGCTATGAAGTGGCATCGGGGCAAAGAAATCTATGTTCCGCCTATGCACACACCTCTGATCTACATTGGGTCTATCATGGTCAATCCAAGTTTGGTGACTTTGATTGGAGCCCCAATTTCGCGCCAGGGCGCTCAATATGAATGGATGAGACCTCGGCATTGTCAAGCCCATCCTACTGCTCGCAATGTGGGCTCCGAGATGGAAAGCAAGAACAAAAAGAGTTGAGATACTGTAACTAGTTGCGGACCCTCCACACGCTGCTCAGAACTGAGGCACGTGCAAAGCTTCTGACGCAGAAATGCGTTCAGCTGGGTCGTATTTTAGCCTTGTAGGCAAGTGAGCAACCGGAAAAACCTGCAAGCAAACTGTGTTCTGCTGTGCTGTGACTATCGTGTTTGGTAGTCGCTGCGTTGTTGTACAGTACAGGTTTGCTAAGTACACCCTTTGCAACTTTCCACATGCGGGTGCATCCCCCACAGGTAAGCATAAGTTGGGACATGGAGCGCAGTGACCTGAACTTCAGTGGCTTCCCCAGGAAATGTTGGCAATAGCTTTGTTGCAAGCGCAGCAAGTGCAATATTGTCTCTAGTTCACTAATGTTCACCATATATATATATATATAGAATATAGAGATACGGTATATGTATATATATATAAAAATATGTATGTGTGTGTGACAAACCGGGTTCAGGGCTACCCACATCATGGGAGTGAAGGTTGACATCGATACTCTTTCCTGAAGTGTATTGCCTAAGCCCAGAGTTGACCAACAAAAAAAGCACCCAGTCTAGACCCCTCCTATCAGAAAAAACAAAAATGATTGATACCATGAATCGAAGCCACCCAGGATGCCTCAGCCAGTACAACAAGGTATCGTATGGTACCGTGGAACACTGGGCGCCGGGCATCATCCTCAAAAGGTCCCTTGCCTCCAAAGCTGAGATTTATATTGGGACAGTTGCCCTTCATGCAAGGGACACCGAACATCGCAACATAGATTTAAAGGTTGTCCATATGCCATATGTCTGCAATTGTGCAGCGAAAGAAAGCCCGCTTATACTATATATACTTGTTCATGCGAGAAATGCCAGCTCTCCCTTAACAGTACCATCAGCACTGTGCCTGTGCAGAGCAAGCCCGCTTTTGCAGCTGTGTGCATTTTTCCAGCTTTTTCTCGACGTATGCCTAAACTGGGCTGCAATTGGCACTGTGTCTGGTGTGCAGCGGGAAATCTTTGTCGTTTAGTAGGCTCAATCCAACGGCCGAAGACCCACCACAGCTTCGCAGAACCCCCAGCCCTTCCAACATGGATGCATTTCTGTCAATCCGGTCCAAGTGGGAGGTCATCCCCCAAGTAAAACCTGCTAAAGACCTGCCAGGAGAATAACGCAACTTGTGTCTCAAGGAGAGACGTCCACAGGAGGAGACGTGGCAAAGAGGACAGGGAAAGGGCCTACCAGATCGGCATGGCACCTTCTTGCCAAGCAAATGCTTTTTCCGGTCGTCGTCCTTCGGCAGCAGCATGAGCCTCACATCTGGACTCAGTGAGCCGTTGAGGTGCCAAAAGCAATCCAGCCAAGCCACCCAGTTAAGCACACGTAGAGAAGAACACCTGTAGCAGCCCTTTGTCAAGGACTGTCTGAAAGGCAAGGGGCCGAGGGCGTCTGTGAAGAAACGTGTAGGGTGCCCCAAATGGCAGCAAAATGCCCACAATGCATGTGCCAAGGTGCCGAGAGACCACATGTCAACAGCCGGACCTGTCGCATGGCGGTCTGGCAGCTCGACAGTGTCTATGTCAAACCCGTCCGTCATGCGACGCCACCCACGAATCTGAGTTTTTGGCTGTACTTGCCACTGATCATCATTTCCGGCGCCATGTAGTGAGATGTGCCTGCAATGGGGATAAAGGCCTTGCTCTTCCAACTGTGTGTGGGGCAGGGAGTTCCTGGCTTCAGCACCGCCACGTCTGTGCGCCGGTGGACATTGCCAGTGGTCGATCATCTTTGGAGTGTTTCCGGGGAGGGGGGCAACCCAAACTATGACATATAATGTAGACGCTTGACTGATCTTTCTTAATCAAGAGACTACGTTGCATACACATACAGCAAATCTACACAATGAGCTTGAAGAACCGCAAGGGTTAAGCCTGCAATCTCGATGTACTGGTCCTGGGGGAGGTATCCATAGAAGCGAGTGGCCAGTCCAAAATCAATCAGCTTCACCGTCCTGCACCAGGGAAGTATGCTAACGCTTATGTGCTACTAGGGTGGGGGCCATCGCTAGTAGGTTGGAGATGGTTGGAGGCCATCGCTAGCAGGTTGGAGGCCATCGCTACTAGGGTGGAGGTCATTGCTAGTAGGTTGGAGGCCATTGCTAGTAGGGTGGAGGCCATCCATCCAGCAGAATTGCATGCGAGGCTTCCCAAAGCTCTCCTGTCATCACCTGTGATCATAAAGTTCTTGGCATTCAGGTCTCGGTGTACCTTGGCCGCTGCCACTAAGATCCACTAAGTGCCTTCCTTGAACAGGCGCATGTGAACTATTGCTTCATTTTGCATATGAATCCACTTGGGTGCTAGCAAATCCGTGAGCATGACAACAAAGCACTGACTTCAAACACTGCCTGCCAGTGAAAGTGTCTTTAATGTCGTTCTTACGGCCTTTTAGTAAGGATAGCCGCGCATGCCTGATCCTACTTGCTTGACCAGCGGAAAGCGCCACTGCTCACTGACCCACTTTTCCGGAGTTTTGGAAAGGATGCACATGTGCAGCACTTTGGCCAAGCACGAGGCTGCATCTGTAAATGCAGTGCCTGTTGCGGGTCACTCCTTTGGAGGACGACAGACCTTGCTGTGCCCAGTGCCACAGGCACAGCCCCTGCAACCTTGGAAGTGCCGAGTGCATGTCTGTGAACACATTTGCAGTACACTTCCGTGCATATCTGCACTTTAAACCGAAAGCTGTGCCACGCCCCTGCGCTGCGCCAGCCGGGGTGCAAGTGTCGAAGCTTCTCCCATCTTTGGTTTCAGCCACTCTTCGACCACACCTGCGCTGTTTGGCTGTGGGAATGCCGCAAGGATTCCTGATAGACCATCCAGGGACGAACTCATGAAAACAAGAAGCACATTGGTGTCGCAGTGTCTTCTGGTCTATTTCTGTCGATGTCTATGGCTTGCTTTCTTTCTTCCTCGGAGATTCGCAATAAATAGAAACCCGATGTCATCAGGCCACACCTCATCTTGCAAAAGCCCGGCTTCACGGGTTCGTCCTTTGAGTCAACCTAGCGCAAGGCCGATCTTTGGTGCACCAATGGTCTGCGACTTGTGCGACTATGCTACTAGCGGGGTAGCCTTCCCTCCACTTGAAGCAACTTGAACATTTTGTCTCACATGATTGCACGCGAATGCTCACGTTATGGTGAGGTATGCCTGCAATAGAAGCACACGCCACGGGAAACCGGCTGTGGAAAGCTCAATAATTACGAGCCATGAGCACCTTTAAAGTGTCGAGTCTGTGCGGCTAGAGGACTGACGTGAGAGAACATATATTTATATAGATAGATATAAATATAGATATAAATAGAAAGAAAGGGAATATAAATTGGTGTAATGCAAAAACACCAAAGCGACGCAAAGCGCCTCTTTGCCGCACATCGGATCATGGCTACCGGAGCTGCAGTCCCGGCAGCATGTATCATAGGGACGGCCAGACGGATGTCTGCCGGGGTTGACTGGCCGTCCACAGCCATACCTGCATCAGGGCGGGAGGCGTGGGAGGGTAACACCTGGTCTCTCTCTCTCCCCCCCTCTCCCTCTGAGCAACGTTGCATAACAAATTGAGAAAAAACGCAATCAAAACAAACATATACTGTGTGTGTGCGCATGAAAAGGTATATATGTATATATGTTATACGTGTATGTCTGTCTGTCTGTCTGTCTGTATGTATGTACGTACGTATGTACGTATGTATGTATGTCACAACCCGTTTCCAAGGGCAAGGCGCGATATCACCAATGATATCGCGGGATATGGAACTTGGCCAGTCCCATCTACCTGCTCTAGTCTAGTGGGTGATTCTTGCGCCTCGCCCGAAAACAGGAGGCAGGGTTCGTCGGCAGACTTGTCTGTCGGCTCCCTTTCCTTGTCTACCTTAATGGAGCGATTCGTCAGTCTCGCTCTCTGGCTAAAGAGGAGGCTTCTCATTCCTTTTAGTCTACCCTAGCTAGACATCAGGAGGCTTAATTCCTCTTTACTCACTTATATAGAGCGATTCACCTGTCCCGCTCCATTATGGAACCTACCTCTCTAGCAGCCGCGCTTGCGTTTTACATTTCAGCCGATGTCCCATAGCCGCTGTCAGCATTCATGGTGAAAATACCTTCAAGTTGACCGACCCAGCAATCTTGCGGTTTTGCACTAACTACAGAGTCAAGCGTTTTGCATAACTGAAAGCCACTGGACATTATGTTCCCCGACCGGAACTTTGAGTCTAAGTGTGACCTGCTGCATCTTCCCACTTGGGTGTGCAGTGTGGTCCCCGCAAGGGGCGCTGAGACCATTCTGGCAATCACTTTCTGAAATGAATGGGTTTCTCACCGAAGTCGATGACAGCTCAGCTGATTTTCACGAATCTTCTGGCTGAAATTTTACTGACGAGTTCACGTTGGCTCTTCACTGGAACTACTTGCCTCAGAGCTTTCATGACAGGTTCCTGCGGCTGCATGGAATTCACAACTTCTCTTCTCCCCCACCCTTTTCTCTTTTGCGGCTTTCTTCATTTTTTAGGTGTTCTTTCAAGCTTGTTAGGTTGCTCTTGAGGCTCGTTTTGACGCCCCTCCCCTCGGCTTTGTCCCACCGTTTGAGCAGGGGGTCAAGGCGTGATATCACCAACCTTGACCAGCGAAGCTGGGTGATATCGCGGGATATGGGACTTGGCCAGTCCCATGTACCTGCTCTAGTCTAGTGGGTGATTCTTGTGTCTCGCCCAAAAACACGAGGCAGGGTTCGTCGGCAGACTTGTCTGTCGGTTCCCTGTCCTTTTCTACCTGAATGGAGCGATTCGTCAGTCTCGCTCCCTAGCTAAACAGGAGGCTTCTCCTTCCTTTTAGTCTACCCTAGCTAGAAATCAGGAGGCTTTATTTGTTTTTTACTTACTTATATATAGAGCTATGGAACCTACCTCTCTAGCAGCCGCGCTTGCGTTTTGCATTTCAGCCGATGTCCCATAGCCGCTGTCAGCATTCATTGTTAAAACACCTTCAAGTTGACCGACCCAGCAATCTTGCGGTTTTGCACCAACTACAGAGTCAAGCGTTTTGCATAACTGAAAGCCACTGGACATTATGTTCCCCGACCGGAACTTTGAGTCTAAGTGTATTATTATGCATGGTGTTACCTGATTACATAATACTTGCCGCCATTGGCGTGCTTCCTGTTCTCGTGCGCCCTTGGGAGCCCTGGCTTGCACTTCCCAGGGCCCAACTTCTCCGGATCAATGTTACCTCAGTCGAGTCGGAGTGGGATAGTGTGTTTAGCATTGTTTTGCCTGTTTAGCATTGTGTTCCAACTTGATAATCCAGTGCCTCCCCTTTCATTCCTCGCCACCGTTGCAAGCTCAGCCGAAGAGCCACAATGCATGTCATGGCCAAAGCCCATGACACATCCGCGGCAGCAGGTGACAAATGGCTTCCCACTCTTAGTCGTTCCAGGCGCAACCTTGCGCCCACATCCCTGCGACTCGATATGATTCAGGCATGTTCACACCATGTGAATGCGTGAGCTGAGCATGGTTCCTCAAGCCACACATGAAGCTTCAAACTTCAAGAAATTCGGTGTCCTGCTTGCAAAAGCCGGGAGGAATACCAGGAATATCAGGAGTTCCTTTCTCCATGAGCGCCTTGCAACATCTTGCAACCATGATCTATCACGATCTCATGCTCAAAGAGAAAAAGAATCCACACTGCGGGATTCCTTTACACATGCCCTGATCTGCTCTGGCGAATGTCAGTCCGGATGTCCGGAGCTAACCTGCAGGCGCTCTTCCCACGCAGTCGCACCCAGCTTTGCCCGTTCTTCTCGCTCCATGCGCCTCCGTTCCTTCGGGTTGACTAGCTTTGCGCGGCCACGGCTTTAGAGAGAGACCGGAGGGTAGGCCGCTAGAAGTAGCTAGTAGCTAGGTAGCTAGTAGCTACAAGTAAGCTACTACCGACAGGACGCAGGATAGCTCACGCTTCTTCAAGGAACCTCCCCCCACCGCGCTAGAGGTGGCCGAGGAAGCTTCCTTGAAGAAGCATTCGCACTAATGAGCTTAACTTAGAGAACACCTGTGCATGAACGAAAACAAAGGAGGTACAGCATGGTGATGCTTTATGGTTGTATTGAACTCCTGCATAATTAGGTCCTTCTAGTTTGGACTATGTGCCTCGTCAATCCAGGAGAACTTCCAACCAAACTTCTTTGCTACTGCTTCCACCCTCGCTTGGTCAGGCTCTTTGCGGTGGCGAGGGTGTGCTACTAGCCGTTCGACGTGCTTGGCAAAGCAGAGTTCTCCGTGGATCTGTGTCTCCTCGTCAAACGGCAGCATGATGCTGTGGAGCACATGGATGCGCATACCGTACCCCTTACTTACCATCCCACACCCATGAACTATACCGGCTGGATGCCTTGTACTTCATTGATCCCACTTTGGCTGAATCTCCCAGCAACGCTGCATCTGAGGATTTTGCCACCTGCATCCTCAGTTTGGCATATGAGGTATTGTGATGTCGTGTATTGTCGTGTTATGATTTGTTATGACCTTTGCATCTGTTTGCACTTGTACGCCACATATGCATACATATGCAATCATCGACGTGATTTCCCCCGCTCTGCAAACATCACCGCCCCATCTGAGGCATCGGCGTCTCGCGGAGCTCATCGTCACTGTATTCCGACAACCTGGCGGCCGCGGTCCCGAACTGCACAGGTCCCAGCGTTGAACAGTTTCGGCTTTAGTGACTTTAGTGACGGTGAGGCGTACTTGTAGGACTCGTGAAACCACGGCATGCCATGTTTGCTGTTTCGGAGTGGGCTAAATGCAAACTTCTTGCTACTAGTAGCTCCTGGCATTACTACTAGCAACAAGAAGCTACTATGTGGAGGGCATCACTATTAGGTTGGAGGCCATCGCTACTAGTAGCTCCGAAACTTCTTTCCAAAGCTTTGTCCCCGAGGCTGGCACACATGGCCATAGAAGTCTAGCACAGCCAATCCTGCGAACGATGCTTTCACCCGTGGTTTCCCCAAGTGACAACTTGAAGCAAACAAGAACCAAGCTCCCATAAGCTCCCTGCGTTCTGCTTTCAGGTTTGCAGAGTCTTCGGGAGAGAACGTGCACCTCAACCGCCTGCAGCACACAACTTGCCAGCCTAGCTGCATCAGCCATACACAAGACACACGAGATAGTGAGCTTGGACGTCGAGGCACACATCTCTCAGTACTAGGTAACTGTCTCCGTACTGTGCACACTTCACAACTCCACGGTGGTCATTCATCGCGTTCAGGACGCCATACTTGCAGCGGTCAAAGCCCTGCATGTGGTCAGTGGATTTCAGTGTGGCCGTTTGGGACTGGGATTGAGTGTGGCCAACGGAACATCGGCCTGGGCACGATCATAGCAGCCGCCAAAAAGGTCCTTCTCCCACTTCTCCCGAGTACTTGGTTTCAGGAGGCCTGAGTCAGGAAAAGCCTTCATCGAAAAATGAAGGCCTGTCTTTCGCTCCAAGGGCCTCCAGACGTTGCAGTTTCAAACCTAAGACATGTGCTATCGGTCCACAAAGGCCTCTCCGGAACACAGCTATGGGGCCCAGGCTGATTTCGATAGTGGGTGTCTTTCTCCAGGAATTGTAGCATTTTGGTGAGATCCAAATGTACAATGATGGGGGCCATCTCGCGGACCCAGGCGAGCCTGATTTGAAAAGAATCATGGCAGATTCTAAAGGCATAAGAGAAGAAGCACAAAGAACAAAGATCCCGAGCAATTAGACTTGCTTGCTTCTCTGGTTAGACCATGGGATCGCTGGATGCTGCTGGAGTGCGTCATCCAAAGGTCAGTGTCTTGGAATCCCAGTCGAGCAATGCGCTGCTGCAGCTTCGGCAAAGCATTTTCATGATTTCGCTTCGCCAAGGCTCGGATGTGCGCAACCTGGGCTACCCGTTCGCACTTCGAGCCAGTGTGTATGCAAGTGAGACCTAACCTGGCCGGCTCTCTGCTGATAGACTACTTTGATCTACTTTGTGTTCCTCCTATGCAATTGAGCACGCGGCCAAGTTCTAAGGCCAGGGTTGCACATGTAACTGTATGACCATGTCTCTGCCCGCTGCTGAGGGCTCGGCAGCTTTCTTTTGACAATTCACCAACTTTGATGCTTCAGTGAACTCTGATGGTGGCACAACCAAGCGCCAATATGCCTGTTGGGGTGCAGCTAACCAGCTAATGCTTGAATGCAAGAGCGAAGCTTGCGTGTGACCATATATCTGCAGATATCTGGAGCAATACTCATCTACCTCAGAGCATGGTTAGCCTTAGCCGCTGCAAGTTACTTGTCTACTTTCGAGTGACCCACGGCCCCCAAGGCCTGTGCATCGTCCCTTATCCCAGCCTGCCAAGAGGCACTCACACCAGCTGCATGTGGCAAGAATTCGCTTATTTCTCCAACTTCTTAAAATGTTGAGAATATCTATGATCTAGCTAAGTTGGTGCCTAAGGCTCCGCTACTCTGATGATTGGAACATAAGACCAAAATATAAACAAATTCAGATGGTATTTGGACAGAACGACACACACACACACACACACTTCGAAGTTCCCTCTCTGGGCGCGAAGCCATGTCCCTGAAATGTTCGCTGGTGCTGAAAACCAATTCCAGCCCCCAGTTTGCAGTCCAACAACGCCCAGAACATCAAAAACGCGAACTTCACCGCACTGTGTTAGGAACATTTAGGAACTACTGAATGCACGACCAGAGTGCGTCCATGTCGGGAGTGAGAGATAGATAGACTACATCCCGCCAAGCTGGCTACAACATCTCCAAATGGATTTGGCTTCACAAAGACTACACAAAATCTCTGATCGCCAACTCTATCACTGTCGTTTTCGTGTTCCAATCTGCCCATTCTTTCTCAGACCTCCCAATAGGCAAACCGTTTAGCGGCTAAGCCGGGATCGCTCCCAACCTCGAGGAGGCTCATCCGCACGGTCGCAGGATCTACTGCTTCTCCCGAATGCCTAGGCATGCGCCAAAGATGAGTGCAAATTCTTTTGGATAAATGTCCCATCTAATTCTAACATCTTCTTGTTACTACTAGTAAGGCACTTGTTACTAGAAGCGATGCACTTGTTCCTAGTAGCTTCTGGTTATTGGATTCATATCCAGTTGCATAAATGTCCCATCTAATTCTAATTACATGCGAGTATAATGTTGGTCCACGTTTTGAAGGATCTTTCAAACTGGATTCCAAGTTGTCCAATCAGACTGAACGAAGAGATTCAAGTGAGCCGTTCGGTACAGTCGTGTCCAAGCCGCCCGTGTTTGGCTTCCATCTGCTTTCGTCTGACCTCGAAGAGCCGCAAGCTGCCGCCCATCCGTCCCACGTAGAGCCGAAACTCCTCAATCCCCATGCGGCGGTCCTCAGCCACCAGAGGGCCGACCAGGGCCGACCAGGGCCGACCAGGCCACCAGAGGGCGCTTGGAAGAAAAGCTCAACTAGCATGACGCATGCTGCATGTCGTTCAACATCGAAACAAGAACAATTTGATTTTGAGACATAAGAGTTCATAAAAGGTCTGGTAGCTACTTGGGGTACCGACCCCATCCGTGTCCACTGCACTCATGATCTTCTCAACATCCTCGTCTTCCTGGTCTATCTACCATGAAACACAGGCACAGAATCAATATTTTGACCTTGTGTGTGTGTGTGCAATTCTCTACTTATGACTTTTGTGTTTCATTGTGTTTCAATGGAAATGCTATGTCTGATGCTGCCCGTGCTGGCTGTTCAAGTCCTTGGGAAAACCCAAGTAGTCCAGCATTGTCCTCACCTTGGCTGAGTGAATCAGCCAGGGCAAGCAAGAAGAAACGACGGAAATGCCCCAGCGATCATTCACCTTCGGAATTGCAGCTGCGGCCTCCGTCTCCGACAAGCTATCTTCCTTGGGCTTCTTGAACAGATTGAAGGCCGCTGTCAGCGTAGTTATCTGCAAATGAATGTAGGATGCTTCGAGCTCAAGGATGGAAATGAAAAACACTTTACAGGAGGCTATTGCCTCTCCGCTTCTCTAAGGGAGGAAGGACGCTACTAGGGGCTCCTGGCCTTACTGCTAGGAGCAAGAAGCTACGGAGCAAAGGGCATCGCTACGAACGGAGCATATTCCTTTCGGTGTTTCTCTTTCACTTTCATTTCTATCTTCCGTCCGTCCGTGCGGCTGTCTGCTGTCTGTCCGATCGATCGATCTCTTCCTGCGAGATCCAATAGTCCTGCGTTCCAATTCTCAACTCGTTTCTCTCCCCGTCTCTCCCCGTTTGATGGTCCTAGTAGTTTCCCCGTTCATGCTGTTTTCACTGATTCTTGTTCTATTTGTGTGGTCGACTCATTCATTGAATGGCCCTGTCAGTCCGGTCCTGTCTTCTCCCCTGTTCTTACACCACTCTTCTCATCCCCCCCCTTCTCCAATTCAGTGCACCTGTGCGATTGATTATGCAATCCTTCAACTTCTTCAAGTAGACGCAGTGCACTCAAATCAACATTCAACTATATATACTATATAGATCTATGTATATAGTATAGGTAAGGAACCACTTCTCCACCTATACCGCTTACATACAAGTCAGATATGGTGGGCTTATCATTTGCATTCATTTGTCACATATGCAACTGGTCCAGGGTGGTCCCTTGCCTTTCTAGCTGCCAGCCTCAAGCTCCACTTCATGCTCAAGTCGTTCAAGGATATCACGAGCTCTACTTTCATCACCGTCGCAAATGGCATTCTCACAGTCCTGCGCGCAGCAGCGTAGTTGCTCGACGGCTGTTTATGAGCCGTGACCATCTGATTCTGGATTCTGGCGTCCTCTACAACACTGTAAAGGCCATGCCCTGTCAATCCCAAGAAATCATAGTTGTGCTGCATCATTTTAAGAGCTCTGCTCATCTCGGTGTCCTGAGCAGCTCCGTTGACCGAATTCTCATATCAAGCTGTTCAAACCTCTGTTCAAACCTCTTGAGGCCTAGTTGAAGCACGCCTGGCCCTGGTACCTCCACTCCCCTGAGGTCGCTTCGGGCACGCTGCGCGACACCGTCCGCGTGGGCATCGGCGTCGGATCTGGAAGCCTGAAGGGGTGAAGAGTCGGGAGGCCCATGGAAACCTGATTTCAAACAGTAACAAGTGCCTTACTAGTAGTAACAAGTGCATCGCTTCTAGTAACAAGTGCCTTACTAGTAGTAACCATGTTTGCTATTAGAATGTAATTAAAATCTAATTGAAATTACAACTAGCGATGGCCTCCAACCTACTAGGAATGGCCTCCAACGATGGCACTCTTGTAGCACGTGCTCTTCTGGAACACTCTTGTAAGACACTTCTGTGGGACACTCTTGTAGGGCACTCCTGTAGCACACTCTTGTGACGCACTTTTCGCAAGCTCTTGTAGGACACTCTGTAAAACACTCCTGCTGGACACTTTTTTGCGCAACTTTTTGGAGGACAGCATCTTCACAACGGACATGTCCGACGGGATGTCATCCAAAAGTGTCACATCAAGCCTTCAAAACGTGCATTGCGTTCGAGATGTCCAAAGCGACGAGTCAAGGCGAAGCCTCACGCGCCAAGCCCCCAAAACGACCATTTTGTACGAGACTTCCTCCAAAAGTCACACAACGAGCATCGGTATGGGACATGGGACAGGTCGTCCGTGGACTGGATCCCGTCGTCCTTCTCAAGTCTCTTGGGAACTGATCGCTGAACACAGAGTGGCGCAACGACAACGCGACGACTCGAGACAACACAAGGCGAACACAGGTCCAGCCCACAAAACCGGAACCCTTCGCTACTCATTCGGGAACAAGACATGCCTCTACAAAAGCATGCAGAGTTAAATGCGGCATATGTTGTATCATTAGTTGATTGTGCACACTAAAAGGGTCTAAAAGGATTATGCAAATACCCGGCGTGTCAAGGACACAAACCTGGGTCCCTCCATGTTTCTCCAACTCCAAGGCGCTCATCCTTGTCATCCACGGCTGCGGAGACAGTGCACGCATTGAAAGGCCACCCAAACATGGCTGGAGAGTGACACGGACGGGAACGGGTCTGGTGGTTGATCTGGTTCAATTCATGTTGACTTGACTCATGATGCAAGGAAGCGGTCTCTTCACAATGTGTCAGGTCTCCTCAAGCTATGACCCGTCATGACTTAATTATGTTCAATTGCAGATCAACCCTGGCAAACTATTGCCCTGCCAGGAAGTTGGGACTGGACTTGAGAAATCCTGCAGGTAGGGCAAACCTTGTGAAGGGGCGTTTCAGAACCCGAAACCGCATGGACCTCGCATCTGCGAGCGCATATCTCGGCGCCTCAGTAGGACTGATATCTCAGACTCTGGGACGAATCCATCGCCTTCCGGCCTGGCAAACAGCTCTGGACGTTTCGGCAAGGGCATCGAGCGTAACATGCCACATGCCGCGAGTCCATCTGATCCAGGACATAAGTGAAGATGTCTGGACCTCCGGGAGCCAACTAAGCTACAGGATGAGCTGAAACACAGAAGTTCCATGGAGCCATGGTCAACCTCAAGGCTTCTCAAGGCTTCTTGGCTGGACACATTCATGTGCAAGAAGTGAAAAAACACTGCCTGTGCAAAGTTCCATCACCAGGAAAAAGCTAGATATATCGTCAAAGTATTCGATCACCTGCAGGCAATTTAAACTGCGAGCACAGGGATGAAACTCAAACCTTGCTTAGCATAAGCGTGCGTCCTTAAAACTCAAGACAGGGTGCCACAGTAATTACTACAGCTGCGACTCTTCAAAAGCGGAGAAATGCCACAGGTGGCCTCAACGATGTGGGGATGGTCCAATGCCTGCAAGGCCTACATGTGGCGCACCACGGGGTTTGAGCGCCACATGGATCAGCGCTCAGCGCCTTAAGCTCAAGCTCAAAATCCTCGTCTGCTGTCCCAGTGTGAGGGATCTCTTTCACAGCCTTAGTGAGAAAAACACATGACTTGGAAGAATCCTTCTCTGGCTTGGTCTGCGACACGAAGAATTCCTGTGCGTCGATGTTGGGCCTAGTTTGGGGACCACATGGTCAACACATCTTGGTACTGCCATGTTCAGCAGCAAAAAGGCAAACTGTATGTAGCCACAGCGTGCCTTGTGAACTTTGCCAAAGGATCCCTCGCCAATGATCTCCTTGAACTCGTACTCACTGTCAATCTGAACAGGCTGCCAAATGATGCTTTAATTCACGCAGTCGCGCATTGCACAAGGCAATCGTTTGAGACGGAAGAAAGACAAGCCATGAAGGCAGCTGCCAGGCAGCCAAGCTCGTGACACATGTTGTGGAAGGTGAGTTTCTTTCACGACGAAAGGTTGTGGGGTGGGAGCCTGGCGGATGTTTTTCCTGACAAGGTCCTGTACCATTGTTCGACTGCATGATGTAACAGAAGACCATTGCAAGTGATGGCCAATACGGTCCTCTCGATCAAATTCAGCAGGAGATGGGCAAACCACTGGGCTGCATGGAAAGGCCTTCAAGTATGCAAAACTGTGTCCAAGAAACTGGACTTGTGCCACGCAATAAAGCTTTCCCGGCAGAAATGCAATGCAACGTTACACTATACTATACCATGCAAGTACAAACCACCAAGAGCTGCCAAAACTGTTTGGTGCTTCATCCGTTTCTTCATGCTCCTTTTATGTGGATAGGTGGTCGGTGGTCAACTTCTTGCAAACAATTTTGATCTTTTGGTCATGATTACGTGTCATGTTCGTGTCTGCATCTTGGGGTCCATGATGTTTTTCGTTAATTTATGCTAATTTGATCTAATTTGGATGTTTTCTACGTATGCATTTCAATCACAACCCGCCGTATGTTCAATCTGTTCTTCCCGGCTGATTTAATTAATGTGATATTTGTTGAATTAAACTTGCTACCTGCTTTCTTTTTTCTTTCTTACGCTGTCCTCTCTGAATAATCACGTGTTTTTCGTTATGATGAAATCGGAAATACTGTATGAAAAGGGGGTCTTCGCCATGATGAAATTTATCCAATAACTGCAGTAAACCAACAGCCCCAAAAAATACAAATAAAATAGAGATTGCATGTGCATCTATCTTTCCTGCCAATGGTATGAAACCCAATCAACTCCACAATTAATTATAGACATGTAATTAACATGTATATATGTCCTCCGTATTTGTCATGAAAAACATTTAAAAAAAACTGAAGCAAAATTATGGAGGACATGTTGTTGTTGCTGTTGTTGTTGTCGTTGTTGTTGTCGTCGTCGTCGTTGTTGGTGTGGTGTTTTTGTTGCTTGTGTTTTTCTCTACTAAATGTCTGGACCTTCCCTGCTTATTCTATTTATATAAATCTCCAGGAATAATTCAGCGTGTTTATTTGGTGATCCTGAATCCTTTAGCTTAACAACTGGTGAAAGAATAATGAACCATCATAACTTATTTTACATGAAAAGAGTATAATGATACTATATTCATAATCAATTCTAATGTGCGACTCATGGTATATGGTTCCTTTGTGGGATTCGCCAGCGTCTGCTCCTATTCTGTCCTATTCCAGAATAACTATACTAGGGAAACTGAGATAGGAAATGGTGGGGATTGCAAAAGGTACGAAAAGCAGATGAGATAGGACTCGAAATAGCCCAAAAATGGATGGAGCACATGAGTCAGACAGTCATAGTTTACAATATTTTACAACTTTTGTGGGCCTAACTCATTTGTCCAAAGGCTCAGACTGTCTTTCACAAACTTCTCTTAAGTGTCTCGCAATGTTGTGTCCCGCGTGCCAAATCTGAGATGGTCCTCATGAAAAAACAATACCTATTAGATCCTATTAGTCCTTTTGGGCCTCCTTCATGTGGTTTGGACTCATGAGATTATATAGATACACTTTTGGGGCGTCCAAAACCATCCCGTCAGATTGCAACTGGCGCAAACATGAGATAGGAAGACTCATTTCCGCATGTATGTTTCACTGTTTCACTACTCCTGTGTCATCTCCGGGTAGCAAACTTAAGGCGCTTCTTTGAGATGCTGAGATGTTCTCCACACATTGGTCCGTTCCCGAGTTTGTGACGGCCATGGCCACTTCCACCACGGGCTGTGGAGACTTCTCCAGCACCTGGCAAGTACGATAACGGCGTCCCGACCTTGGGAGGTTTGCCCAACATATTGTCAGCCTGAGCTTAAATCGCATGTGCCGCATGGTTGAGTGATGAGTCCACAATGACCAGTTCTAGTTCTTGTGCCGACAGACAGCCCCAAGCCTTCCTAGGATTGATCGGCCAGGTCTCTCTGCAAACCCTGCGATACGGCCCTGGAGGCCTCATCTGGCGATCTTTGTGGCGACGGCGTCCCTGCAAAGCCGGCCTTAAATCAAACTGTTTTTATGCTGAGATCGCTCGAGCCCTTGCAACACCAAGCAATGCAGCAACGTGCATGATGTATCACGGCATGTCTTGAGAACACTGACTTAGACTTTGTCCTCAAACTTGCTTGCCAAGCAAAAAGCGAAGAGGCCGAGCGGCAAAGTTGCTCTCACCATCTGCACTTTCATTTTGCCTTGAACAGGGGGCAACTCGACCAGCCTTCGATCACAGTTTGCACCTGCTATACTCATTTTCCAAAGCCGGCACACTTGTCTTGCAATTGTTGGCCGCAAAGCGAATAGAAAGCGAATCTGCTTTCAAAATCCCTGTTTGGAGAATAGTCGATGTTCAATCATCCAAAAATCCATTGAACACTTTCTAAGGTAAAAACTCCAACGGACACCCTTTGAGACCAGCGGATCGTCTCTTGCGGTGCCACTCCTGTGGTACAGCAACAAATGGTCACAGCTGTCCGGTGGCGATGAGACCAAAACAGCTGAATTTGCTTCAGGTTCTGGCAATCAAGACTGAAGACACCGGGGACTTTGGAGGCATCCCCTGAATGTGAAGGCATCATATGCACACCATGCCTATACAAAACAAACTATCGAATAAAGCGCTTGAAGCGAATTCTCGCAGCAAACTACCCTTTTTCTTGGCTGTTGCCGTCGTCCGTCACTGGTATGACCCGCCTCCGTGGCACTTACACATTCACACAATCCCGAGTTGCTTGACCCTTCCGAGAGATGTCACCACTGAAATCCGAAACGCGTTGTCTGCTTCGAAACCCACAGTGAAACTCTGCGTTGGAGGCGATCTGAGGAATCTTGTCGATGTAAGATGATGTAAGAGGTGTGTGAAAAATGCTCTTTGGTTTTGACAACAATACAGGAACATACAGGCCTGAGCCACATTGTGACGCCAAGATGAGCAACGCCCAAAACATTGCCAGGATTCAAGCACTGAATCGTCACACAGTCCTACAGACCTTGCATGCCTGTAGTTTGAAGTCTCGTGCAAACATGAAAACACATCAAACCAACAAATTTGCCCGCATGAATTCAGAGGAAGTTGAAAGGCATCGCAGCGGCTAGCTTTCACTGTCGGAATGGCGGCCTCACGGTCTCTCGGATTTGGTGAAACCATGTCACAAACCGCATGAACTGCCCAATGCCTGAACAAATGTGCAATTTGGGCGGAACACATCTTGCTAGGCCCAAGCTACTGATTGTCTGTTTGGAAGGGCTCGCATCGTCACGAGTATCCGATTGTCTCTTCTCAATTTGTTGCAGCTCTAGTTCTCCTAGCAACTTTGGCGGAGAACTCACCATGGAGTCGGATTTTATGTGCTTTCCGCATTGTTGGAGTGCTCTGGAGCTCCTAGACTTCTCTCAGCCACATCTTGAGCTGCCACATCATTTCTAGGTCTGATTGAAAGACCCTTCGTACTATCACTGGGACTGTCGATGGGTGGCTGCTCTTCCTCCTGCCCGTCTACCTCATCAACTTCTTGCTCAACCGGAAGCTTGATCGTTGTTGGAGGGTTCGTGCTTGAAAGGCTACCTGACTTTGGTCTCACCTTGTCTCCCTCCTTCACTGGGTCTTCTGCGTCATCTTCTTCTTGCT